AGCTGAAATGAGGAAACAATCTGGGATAAAAATGCTGTAGTGACACGTGGCCATGCAACCCCAGTTGGCATCCAGGGTGGACTAGACCTTCAGCCCTCCTTCCTGGCACAGACTTCCCTCGGAAGCAGTGCTGGGGGAGGCTGCGTGCCTGCAGGCTTTGGGAGGGCCTCTCAGCCTCCTGCCAAACTGGACTGTGGCTCCTGAGTCATCCTTTGCCTTTCAGGAGCAGGCTAAGGATTTTTCTTGGGAGTCTGGCTGTGCGTTCCCCTGTGGTCTCCAGACAACCCTGAAGTTTCCCCCATGGATAGCATAGGCCTGGAAGGTACCATGGGGGTGAGTGTTGTTTTAGCCAGCCATACAAGGGACCTTTGGTGCAGAAGGGTCCAGAGAAACTGTGTGCAACAAAACTCTACAGGGGGTTTTGACTACTCGAGCAAAAAGGCAGAAACTTCTCAGATGAGACTAACAGGAGAAACAGGAAGAATTGGCCATATCAATAGCAGTAGCAGAGGATTGCTCAAGTTAAAGACCCCAGATATTCTAAGAGGTAGAAAACAGCTGTGTGTGTATATATACAATGTCTATAACTATTATGCTATAACAGCGCAATATTTAGGTTGCAAGAGTAACCAGGGGCTATTGCTGAGACCAGGATCCCATCCAGACAGTACTGATGCCAATATTCCCTAAACACAGCGCAAGAGAAAGATGCTGTCTTTTCTTGATGAACTGAGAATGAATGTACAAAGACAAGACCAAATCTTCCCTAAAGAAAGTGCAAACCCCCCCTGAATTTACAGCTAACTGTAAGCTGTAGCTCTTACAAGCTCTAGAAAAAGGGTGAGGAGTCATTATTTTACCAATATAATCCTTGCAGTAGTGAAAATGAATTGGAGCAGTTCTCCCTCCCTGGCCAGCCTGAGCGATTCAGGGGTATGTTCCCCCTGGTGTGATGGCTGAAGCCTTGGTGTCCTCCCAGAGAAGCACATGTATGGTACTGCCATGCTAGAGCTGAGGCCAGATGCCATCTCCAGAGGAGGAAAAAGGTAGTACTTGCCCTTTCAGCAAGGAGTGGGACCTCTTTCTCAGCTACAGCAATGAATAACTTGGGATAGGTAGCATTGATAACTACCGGTGTGTGTGCAGTCGGTGCAAGACAAACCAGGCACAGGTAATGAAGAGCCAGCAGGGCTGGCCTCTGCACCCTGTGTTGTGCAGGCTGGAGAATGTACCATAGTCCTTGAGTTAGCCAGCAGCAGAGGTGTGTTCTTAGACCTTCCAAAAATGGGAGTAAGCCATTTCTAATGACAGGTGTGATTAGCCAGGGATATGACTTGCCAAAGGCTAAGGTGTATTTTCTCTTGCAGAAGATTACAAAGAGTAACGATCAGTATGCTACATCCTTTTGGTATTTATGTTTTCCTAAAGCACATCTGGGGCGTTTCTAGGGAGTTACAAGAAAATCAGCCTGGCCAGTTGTCTGGCTTTGGCTTGTGCAAATCAAGAAATGAAATTAAGAGTTTGGGCTGGGGACCTGGTGCTGGACAGGGCGCCATGTCCTCAAGCAAGCCTGCAAGGCTAGGTGCTGGGAGGGTACCCTTAATTTTCCCCACAGGGGAAAACTCTTCTGGGCGTCACCCTCTGGATGAGTACGAGATGACTCTCTTCTCCCTGCTTTTGCCAGAGCTGCCTGGTGGGTGCAACACTCTTCCCCAAAAGCATGTGAGAGCAGTAACTCCTGGAAATGGGAACACGTACACTGTATGCACCCCAACTGCACTCTCTCAGAGCCTGTACATATTGCAATCCCTTGCTATGAGCCAGATAAAGCAAACCTGAGCTCTTTGCATTCTGTTTCCTGCCCAGGGTTTCTTCTCAGAACATCGCCTGCTGGTCCTGGGGTGCGAGAGTGGCTTGCATAGGGTAGCATCTCTCCTTTCTCATCCCCCCTGCAATGGGCCTTTGAAGGACACTCTAATCCTCTGCCTGCCTGCTATGAGCCTTACATTTTTCCTTAGGCACAAAACTCCCACCGCAGGAAGCAGAGTGCATCAGAGCCAAGTCCCTTCTCTGCGGGCGGTGTGAGGTGTCCTCTCCCTCGTGCTGCGCAGAGGGGCAGAGGTCACCCTTGATGGGGTGGAGCTGGGAAGCGTGGACCTTCTTTGCAGCCTATCTCCCTCTACAAACCCTCTGAAAGGGAAGGAGACCTGCTGGGGAATTTTCTCCCACTTCCCGCTGGAGGCTGCAAAAGGGAAGATGTTCTTTCTTCTGCCTCCCCCCATTGGCTTCAATCCCTAGAAAAAATGTATCTTAGCATTGTAGTTGGAGAATAAATACTTTACTGATTTCACAAGGCGTAAGACCAGGGGTGTTTTAAATCAGGGGCAAGACCAAAGGGTTTGTTGCTAAACCAACTAGGCTGCCAGTGGAAAGCGCTCAAGGAAAGCAAACATTGCAGTCACCACGTATTACTAGAAAGGTATTTCTCTGTCTGAACAAAAGGGTCAGAGGAGGAGACTTCAGGCCAGAAAAGCAGCTCACAAGAAATGTGCATTTCGGAAGGGGATTCAGAGTGGCCGATGCTATGGCACCGCACGGCCCTGCAACTGCAACTCCCCTCTCCAGCAGCTCTGTCTCCAGAAACACTGCAGCACTGAAAGGGGTAGAGAAGTCTCCAGGGGTTTCACAGAGCTGAATGGAAAACAAATACAAAAACTCAACCGACCGAACGGAATTTGCTCAACCCTGCACACGTGGCAGCGAACAGGGGAACAACTGCACAGTAACTCAAGTGCACAGAAAGCTGGCCCTATAACACCTGATCCCAGCTAACACCCTGCTAGAGACTGGGGCAAACTTAAGGTGGAATTACTCGGGCTTTCTCCCAGCTCTCCATGGAGGGGTCTGCTCTCGGTGGAGTTTGCTGCCTGCACCAACTCTGCTCCTGTGGTTAACTCCCAGCTTCAGCGTGGCTCTTGTGTACGTGTAGCACGGCCAGGGAGTCAGTTGGAGGCCAGAGCACGTACAGGCTTTTCCCTATAGTACTTCGAGTCAGCATTTGGCCCTCTTTTATACACCCTGGTCACAGGGCTCCGATTCAGGCTTGTGACTTTCTAGTTCAAGCGGAGCTCGGCTTTGATTCACCCGGAGTCAGATGGGATGCTGAAATGCCACGTGAATGTTCAGAAATGGGTGCGCGGGAGATCTGGGGCAAAGGATGGTGTCAGGAGTGGGGATGCTGTTCGTATAACAGCGAGCACGCTCTAATGAAGTTCCAGCAGCCTCCTGCGGGACAGCATGTTTCCTCCTGCTTCCTAGCCATAAATTCCTGTGCTGTTTTGTAAGCTGCCCTTCCTAAAGTTATCTGCAGATAGGTATCGCACAGGCTAGTCCTGGCTTAACCAACAAGCAGCATGCTGCTTTTATATAGGAGCTCTGACTGGGGTTTTACAAGTGGGATTGTGAAGCTGCATGCCATTAACGTCACTTCGTGTATGAGGGAAACTGAGGCACAGAGGCCTCGGGACCCTGCTAAAGCTGATCCAAAGCTCCAAGCGGCGCCCAGCTGATCGGTCACACAGACCCACAAAGCACCACAGCTGCTCCCGCCTTCACCTCCCTGCCAAAGGCCCTCAGCGCAGTGATGCTGTGCGCTTTTAAGGGACGTAGCAAAGGGGAAAAGCAGGCGTTAGGGACTACCCGGGAAAGCAGCCTCCTTTCTTGCTGGCTGCACTCAGCCCTGCCCGGCCTCTTCCTCTGCTAACAAAGCATTTCTCTTTTCCCTCTGGAGTATTTTGCAACTGGAATGGAACCAGCGAGATCACGCTACTTTTCAAAAGCTGCAGCCTGAATTCTCACATCTAGTACTGCCCCACACAAATAACTTTAACTTTTAAAATGCTGGCATAGAATATAACAAACCCTTAAGTTTCATTTAACTGCAGGTAGTGATGATTTGTACCCAGGGGCTCCCGTCAGTCCAGGCTCCTTGCAGGCATGGGGCTGGGCTGGGAGGATGTGTACACACTTATTCTCAGAGTCAGTCACTTTGCAGCTGTAACACGAGGACTCCAACCCTGATTTTAGACAGGGATCACTTAACAAAAAGCAGCCACGTCACTGCAGGCACCGAGCCACGCTCCAGCTCCCAGGATAAGAGCCAACATACGCTGCATAGCAGCTAGAAGAGCTTACAGCAAGGATTTCTAGGATCACGCAGAAGCAAACAATCGCTAATTTTTAAAATCATACACATTCTGCCTGCAAAGAGCAGTATAATAGCAGTATAATAATCTCCCGCTGCCCACTTTAAATGGCTGGGAAAGCTCCAGCCCCAAACAGCTGCAACTGATCCCCTTCTTCACCCCCCTCCATCATGTGATGGTCCTGCCCAAGTGATTTAAGCTGCGGGAGCTCGGTGCTGTGTCAGGCTGGGCTCTGGAGCAGGGGTGTGGGGGTCTCTGCCTGGTGGGGCTGGTGTCGGCAGCATGGAGCAAGTGAGTGCCGCCTTCAAGCTGTGCTGGTGTGCCCAGCAGGGTTAGGTTCGGTTGCGTGTGGGTTTTGGGCTTGGTGCCAGAGGTAGGAGGGGAAAAGGATTAGCTGGGAGGAAATGCTGGGCTGATGTATGGCTGTGGGAGGAATAGTTAGGGCTGACTGGCTGTTTTCCTTCTCCTCTTCTTTAGCATGTTATCTAAGTGGGGAAGCTGTTCTAATGCATGCTTATATCTTTGAGTACTCTAAAGGTTTGGGACCAATTGCAACTCTACAGTTTGAATATCCTTTATATGTTTTCTTTTTTTTTTTTCTTAAACTTTTAGTTTTCTTTCTGGAAAAATGCCTTTTGGGTCCAGATTCTGTGTGATTCAGGACTGGGCTGACCCTTAATGCAACAGCAGAGGAAAATGGGATGGCAGTGTATGCTGACCTACCCCTGCCCCTCCTAACTTTCCTTTCCTCGAAAGACCCCCTGGGTGCTGAGGCAGTGTTTCGGGCTGCGCTCCAGCACTCTACTAGAAATAGAGCCAGAAGGCAGCGTTAGTGCCATGATGATAAGCAGTTTAGTGACTGGGGGAAATCAGACCTTAGCAGTCTGTGTTGTGGGCAGAGCAGGGAGTAGGCATGAGGACAAGCACCATTGGGGCTGGGTGGTAGTCCTAGAGGAGTACCGGGCTATGAGCAGCCGGCAGCTGCTGGGCGTGGGCATGCACAAACCAGGCAAGGAGCCCAACTGAACAATGTACCCAACTTGAAATTAGTCTCCCTACCTTATCTGGCTTGTGGTTAAGTGGAGCTCAGCATCATTGCACCTGGGCCTGGAGCACAGGCAGCAAAGCATGATTTGAGTTATGCCTGACCTCACCAAACAGCATCTTTCTCTTGGCTGAGGTGATGTTAAATGCTATTTTGGGGGTATGTGACTGGGGGAGTGAATACCCTGGCTCCAAGGAAAGGATTAAGCCCTCTTCTCTACAGCGGGAGCTTCCCAGGGGGGTGTTTGTTCTGCTTTACTGGGATGCAGTCAGAAGCGGGCTCTGCTGACCCCTCTCTCTGTGTGTACACTGCTTTAAGTTAAGGCAAGAAACTTTTTTTTGATGGCTCTTGTCTCTTGGAGACCCACTCAGGGAAGGGGGACAGACCTAGTGTTAGAAAAGCTTTGTAACTAACACTAATCCTATGCTAATGGCTCTGGCCACTGCTCACTTGAAGGTGCAAGCTTGCTTGCAAGGATGTCTTCTGTAGCAGCTGGTATATCAGTGCCTGTACCCTACTGGTGTTACACTGGCTTGAATCGCCTCCTTGTCAGTTTGTGTTGCTTAGTGGGGTGGTGGCTGTGAACTAGGATTCCCTGGCAGAGGGCTGAGATGGGCAGCTGGCCTGGCTCAACCCTCCCTATAGCATGAAACTGCAAATGCATTAGGGTCTGCCAGAGCTGGTTTGTGCCTCAGCCCAAGCACTGTGCATAAGCTTGCCTTGGGACAGACTAACTCCTGTGGTTTGGCCCTGCAGGGACTGGTTGTTACTCAGCTGGACATCCAGCCTGGTGAGTGCATCAAGGTCAAAGGGAAGATCCTGTCTGATGCCAAAGGGTGAGTGAGGAGATGGCGAATGGATTGATGTGGCGCTGGGGGAAGCCTGAGCTCCTGCTGTGTTCAGCTTGTCAGCACTGGGTAGCTGGAGCGGCTGTTCAGGCACCTCCTTTGCACTGGGTCTCTGTTTCCCCAGGTTTGCTGTGAACGTAGGGAAGGACAGCAGCACCCTCATGCTGCATTTCAACCCTCGCTTTGACTGCCACGGGGATGTCAACACCGTTGTGTGCAACTCGAAGGAGGATGGCACATGGGGTGAGGAGGACAGGAAGGCTGACTTTCCCTTCCAGCATGGTGACAAGATCGAGGTGAGGCCCCGGGGTGTGTGCAAGGCCCTGGCACAGACCATTAACGGGCCAAGGGTGCAGCTTTTTAGTGCTGCCTTGTCCCTCTGTGGTGGAGAGGGAGCAGGTATGGAAAGGGGACTAAGCAACAGGGCAAGAGTCTCGCAGCTAAAGGCAACCCGCTACCTAGACTTGCTGTGCTCAAGTCAATGCCCAACACCTCGGATGTGTCAAGTGCTCTGCTCTGGCCTTCTGTTGCAAGCCACATAAGCAAGAGCAATTAATAGGGTCTGTCTCATCCCTGGGTTGCAGAAGCTTGGAGCTGACCTTGGGGCAGAGCAAACAAGCTTCCTCGCTGCCATGCTGCCACTGGGAAGGGAGGGGGGCACACT